TCTTCTTCCTCTTCTGACCCATCCCGATGGCAAGCCGAGCAGAGTCTACCTGAAAAAGGGAGTGGGAATGATAGGGGCAGAGATATGAAGAATGGAGTCAAGACAACTTTCTGATCAAGATTTGTCTATTAGGCACTCAAGCAGCTTTTTTTTAATTTTTTATTTAACTTTTATTAATTACACTTTATTCATTTTGTATCCCCTCCATAAGCTCCTCCCTCCTTCCCTCCCAACCCCACCCTCCCTCCCCTTTTTGCATGCATGCCCCTCCCCAAGTCCACTGATGGGGGAGGTCCTCCTCTCCTTCTTTCTGATCTTAGTCTATCAGTTCTCATCAGAAGTGGCTACATTGTCATCTTCTGTGGCCTGGTAAGGCTGCTCCCCCGTCAGGGGGAGGTGATCAATGAGCAGGCCAATCAGATTATGTCAGAGGCAGTCCCTCTTCCCATTATTATGTAACCCATTTGGGCACTGAACTACCATGGGCTACATCTGTGCAAGTGTTCTAGGTTATCTCCATGCATGGTCCTTGGTTGGAGTATGAGTCTCTGGGAAGTTTCCTGTGTTCAAATTTTCTTGTTCTGTTGCTCTCCTTGTGGAGTTCCTGTCCTCTCCAGCTCTTGCTATTTCCCACTTCTTACTTAAAATTCCATTCACTCTGCCCGATCAAGCAGCTTTTTTAAAGCAAAAAGCCACAGGCAACTTTCTCACGGCAACAGCACATTTGCGTCACTTGGCAAAAACACCCAAGGATTCACTCAAGGTTACACAAAGTTTGTTATCTAGTTCTCAGGAACAGAGCACCCTGCTGGAGAAACTGCCAAGGTCAGTCTCTGAGAAACTGAACTTTAGATTAAACCCGCATCTGCCAAGGCCAAGAGGCAAAAGTCCATTACCAGACTCCTTCACTCTTCTTCCTCTTCCTCTCCCCTTCACCTCCTCCCCCTCCTCCTTCTTCTTCTTTTGGTATAGTCAGATGAAAAGTAGATGCCAATGGTTTCCCTTGCTATACTACTTACCTAAGACCAATTCTTGTCTCTGGGTTTCTGAGTCTATGAAATGAAGATGGCCCTGAACATAAAAATAAAGTTCTTGCAGGGATCAATAAGGCACTACCAATAACATACTTTGCCCCAACAGGTATTCAATAAGGTACTTTTATTCCACTTCTAATATTTTCCTAAAAAATAACTGCAGTACCAGACTGACAGAAGTGCGATAGTGACAATAACAAACACCTTCCCGTGTTTTCACTGTTAAATACAATAATCTCTTTGTAACCATGGAGTGTTGGTGAATTCCTCATGGGTCCTGGAATTCATAGATGTAAGAAGTGTCAGCTGGACACAATCAAGAATCATCTGAGAAGGAATCTGTTCAGATTGGTCTGGCCTGTGGGCCCATCCTTTTCTTGATTACATAAATCGATGTGGGAAGATCCAGCCTAAAAGCGGGCAGTGCCACTTTTAGGAAAAGTAGATCCTAAACTACACAAAAGAAGACGCAAAGGAACTGAACACAGCCATGCATTAACTCATTGCTCCCTGCTCTCCTCCGTGACTGCGATGTGAGCGGCCACTTCAAGTCCTGTCACTTGGACTCCCTCGAAGTGACAAAGTGTAACCTAGAATTACAAGCCAAGTAAATACCTTCCTCCTTGAGTTGTTTTTGTCAGGGTATCACCACAGCAATAGGAAGCAAAACTAAGTCAGACTCAACTCCCTTCTATAAAATGGCATACTGTTTGAATGCAACTCACATACGCGTGTCCTTCCATATACTTTGAATCATCTTTAGATTGTTCGTAATACCCAGTTAATACAGACACTTTATAAACTGTTATACTATTTTGCTTAGGAAATAACAATAGAAAATATTTATATTTGACAAAGCTGAGATTGTCCCTCCTGAATGTTTTCAGTTTGATTAGTTGATTCCGTGTACACAGAGATACAAAGGGCTGACCGTATTGTTGAAATAAATGTTATTTATTATTTAAGGAAGCATTCTTCTAACCTTGGTTGGTTTACTGTAAGGATTATTTTTACCTCTAGATGTTGGTGGTGAATATTATCAAGTAACTGTTCACCTTCTAACAAAAAAAAAAAAAAACCAATTATGATTTTTGCCTTTTGGTCTTATAATTAATTTTTTAGTAGAATTGGTAATATTAAATATCCTCTTCTTCTTAAAATTAAAAATCTTTAGTAATTTTGCATTATTTTGGGGCTGACCCGTCAATCTCAATTTTGCTGTATTGTACTTAGGCATGTATAAATTAGATGCTTATAGTTTACTTTCTTATTGTTGCTTATAGATTATGAGCTGTAGTTTGGCAACCCACTATGATGAATTAAGAAAAATTTCACCCGTGTCTTATTTGGGAGACTGTATAGTTTTTGGAAGGATTTTCTATTCCTTGGAGACATACCTTTAAGAACATACCTTTAAATGAGAGTATGTGTACCTTGTTTTAGCATCAGTTTGGGGATAATAACATTTCCTCAAAGTTTTCTAGCTTCTGCTAGCAAACATTATCTATTTAAGCTTATCTATTTAACATTATCTATTTCTTCCTGAACACATTACCAGAACATTAATAATTCACTGGAATATTCAATTTTGAACATTAAGCTTAAAATAGTGTCCTCTTTGAGTGTATTTACGTGCCACGCATTTTTACTATCTGCTGTCATTTTCATTTTTCTTCCCTGGGTCATTGGAAGGTCTCTGCAATTTAGGAGGGCACTTGCCAGTACTTGTTTTTAAATTTTTTTAATTTCTGATTTAATTCATCTTAATCATCCCCATCTGGATGGTCATGTCACCAGTATGGTGTTATAAGCACCGTCTTTACTACCCTGGAGTCTAGTCAGAGAAGGTAGTCAGTGTTGGTGCAGAAGCGAGTGATGTCCATATTCACAGAGCTGTGACTGCTGAGGATGGATCAGTAAGCGGTCAAGAAGGAGCACAGAGGGATAGAAGACTTCCAGTTGTTTTGTTGTTTTGTGAGCCTTGTCATCCATCTCTGAGGCTCTATTTACGTGTAGCCTCAGAGTATGTGGACATTATCCACATGCTGTTTTAGGCAAAGGGAATAGATTACATCAAGAATCTTAATTTCCAGGTCTTACTATTTCCCACTTCTCTCATATATGATTCCCTGCACTCTGCCCAAAGTTTGGCTATGAGTCTCAGCATCTGCCTCAATACCCTGCAGGGTAGATAGAGCCTTTCAGAGGCCCTCTGTGGTAGGCTCCTGTCCTGTTCCCTATTTTCTCCTGCCTCCAATGTCCATACTCTGCCTTTCTGAATGGGGATTGAGCATCTTAGCCAGAATCCTCCTTCTTGATTAGCTTCTTTAGGTGTACAGATTTTAGTATGTTTATCCTATATTATATGTCTAATATCCACTTATGAATGAATATATACCAAGGAGCACAACAGATCCAAAAAGTCTGGGCACAAGGGTCTTTTCTGAGACTGATACTCCAGCCAAGGACCTCTCATGGAGATGGCCTGGAACCCAGGCACAGGTGTAGCCCATGGCAGTTCAGTGTCCAAGTGGATTCATAGTAACGGGGACAGGAACTGTCTCTGATAAGAACTGATTGGCCTGCTCTTTGATCACCTCCCCCTGAGGGGGGAGCAGCTTTATCTGGCCACAGAGGACAACAATGCAGCCACTCCTGATAAGACCTGATAGACTAGGATCAGAGGGAAGGGGAGGAGGACCTCATCAGTGGACTAGGGGAGGGGTATGGATGGGGAAGAAGGAGGGAGGGTAGGATTGGGAGGGGAGGCGGGAGGAAGCTACAGGGGGGGATACAAAGTGAATAAACTGTAATTAATAAAAATAAAAATAATTAATAAAAAGTCTGAATTTGAAGTGTTCTTTATACATATATTTATTTTAGAAGATCATATTATCTATTCATTTTGACATTTTATAGCATTTACAGATTGGATTATCTTATGACTATGAAGTCATATCAAACTCATTAAAAATTTGTGACTTAGGAATTTCAGCTGGGAGGAGCCAGCAAAATCCACGATGAGGTGAAAACCTAATTAGATAGAAAAGAAAATACCCCACAGTTTTGGAGTTAGGTGCAGAAACTGACAAAGCCTCCATAGCAAAAAAGCAAGGGATGCTAGACCAGGGAAGCTTCATAAAGCAGCGAGATCACATGGGCAAGCCACAGGTAACCCTGTAGCTCAGCCAGTTCACCAGAAAACTTTCTAGGAAACAAATTGGTTCAACAAAGATTGACATCAGTACAGGCCTTTATGTATGGAGGTGGCCAGGTCTACAGGACTAATTGTTTTTCAGCAATGACCTTGTTCTTTCATTGTGTAGCTGACGATGTTGAATAACAATGGTTGATCAGGTTGGCTGACATCATGCTGTGATTGCATGGAACTGTTGTCCACTGTCTTTAAATACTAACTGCCATCTGTGATCGCTATTCATGCCTCCACCTCCCAGCGTGGGCCTTTAGGGAACATTATAAAAATGTCTGAATAAGCAAAGACATGTTGGTCAGAGAAACGGTTTTCTGTCCCTTGGGTCTAGGTTCTCTTTGCATCTAACTCGAACTTTATATTTCAGGTTCTTTCATTTCCTTTTCTCAATGATTTCCTCTTCTTAGATGAGTAACAGCAGTGAGATCATGGAGCATAGAAGCTGTCTCATTTAAGACATCCCAATCACATGGACATTGTTTGTGGTAAAGAATATGAAAGAGAACTGTGACTCCTTATATCATCAATGGGCAAATTTCATTGAGCTGTTTAAGACAGTCACTGTACAGAAACTCATGGATCTGGGCAACAGGATACTCAGGGGTACAGCCCATGTTCCAGGATGTGTGAGGCCCCTGACTCAAACCCCAGCACCAAAAATAAAAATACAAATTAAAAAAAATGGTACAATTAAAATACTTAGTAATGTAAATACCCACTAACTCTTAAACGTCTTTGCTTTGTCCGTATTGCAGGTTTAGATTCAGTGGTCGTATTCTGGGCCTGGCTCTGATCCATCAGTACCTCCTGGACGCTTTCTTCACAAGGCCTTTCTATAAGGGACTCCTGAAACTGTAAGTGTGTTTTAGGATGATTCCATATGGCCTACCTGCAGGATGAGAGTGCTGGTCTTCCTAATATCGCCCGCCCTTTGCCAGTTTTGTTCAAACAGTTCCTAATAAGTTTCCACCCTTATCTTGTCCTGGGTGCATATGTATCTTCCATACCTTTTAGTGCAATAAAAAGGTATTTGGAGACTTTTTATGTAGGTGTAAGAAATTACTCTATTAGAAAAGCCATATAATGGACATTAATTTGTTTACATAGAAATTACAACATTGTGAACATTGTGTTAAGCTGTTGAGCAAATATGGCTTGTTTTATTTTAGGCACCATGAGTCAATAATCATTTCATGTTTATTACTGAAACTTTAGTGGCTTTTTTTTTTCTCAAAAGGAAACTATTAAATAGATTAAAACTATTGAATTACTGTTTCATCACTATATTGAAAAGTACCAAGTAATTTTGAAACCTATAATGTTTTATTAAGAAGTAGCATACTCATGTTTGGAATGAGGCCTGGAGGCTATTTATTCACTCAGTTTTTCTCATTCCCAGGCCCTGTGATTTGAGTGACCTAGAATATTTGGATGAGGAATTCCATCAGAGTTTGCAGTGGATGAAGGACAATAACATCACAGATATCCTCGATCTCACTTTCACTGTTAACGAAGAAGTTTTTGGACAGGTTTGTGTGATGTAGAGTTGCAAAAGATGTTTTGTTAAATTCATAGAACAAAACTTAACCATCTTAGAAAAATTTTAAATATACACTTCAGTACTGTGAAATGCATTCATGCTGTTTGGCATCTAATCTCTAGAACTTTTTGTCTTGCAAAACTGAAGTTCTGCCAATTAAACAATACCCTTTAATTCCTCCCACCCCCTAACTCCTGGGAAATACCCTAAAATTTCTGTTTTTATGATTTTGACTCTAGGTAGTTCAAGTAAGTATCTGTTTCTTTAATTCTTTTGACTATTACGAATAATGTTGCTATGAACACGACTGGACCGCTCCCTGGTTGGTCCCTACTGCTAGTTTTTTAAGATTATATAAAAAATCTCAGGTATAAGATTGCTGAATCATATGTTAATGGAATTTTATTTTTAAATTAGGTAGCAAAGAATCTCATCAGTTCAAACCAAGGTCTTCCGTGAAAGACCTGCTGAGTCATCTTTCCCGGGACTTTTTTTTTTAATTGCCAGGATCTTCTTTTTATCACTATGACATGGTTCTACCCTATGCAGGGGTTTTGAAAATCCATTGTGATCATGGATCAAAAAACCTTTAAAGTGTACCATAAGATAAATGGTATTTCTATATCCAGAGAAAAAGATAATGAAGAACAAAGTATATGCTACATATGTGTATGCATAAAATATATATGTATGCAGCATATAATATATACACATTGGTTTAGGAAAACATGTTTAGAATATGTTTTCTATATTTTAGAATATAGTTTAGAATACGTTTTCCTATTCTCTAGTACTGCAAAGGGCAGCACACGGATCCTAGCTCCCAGCTCATGAATTTGTCCTTAAAGGCATGGGCTTCTAGCTGGGTGGAGACCTCTCTGCTTCCTAGCACATTCCCAGCCAGCTTTGACAAACAAATCCTTCCACCTGCCTCTACTTTACTTCTCACTATGTGCACAGTAAGAACTTTCTGCATAACAGCTGCAATCTGTTGCCCTAATTGAGATTCAGAGTCCTCGAGCATCTGACTCTATTGTTTGGACATTTGGATCCCTCCACCTTAAGGAACAACCCAGGACATTTCCCCTTTGTTCCCATTACACCCCTTGAGTTAAAGAAATATGTTTCCTTTTTGTACTAAAATAAGTAAATAGGTTGGGCCTCTTCTAAGTTGATTAAGAACGTGGTTCAAACAACAGAAACTTTCCCAGTAACTTCCTGGGAAGGAAACGCTGTCATCCTAAATAAAGATGTCTCCTTGGAAGACAAACTGAATGAGAAGCATCATGATCCTCCTGTTTATTCGCAAGGTAACAGAGAGAGAGTTGAAGTCTGGAGGTGCCAACACGCAGGTGACTGAGAAGAACAAGAAGGAGTACATTGAGAGGATGGTGAAGTGGAGGGTGGAGCGCGGAGTGGTCCAGCAGACCGAGGCGTTGGTGAGGGGCTTCTATGAGGTAAGACCCCGGGTGTCCCAGGAAAGCAGGCCATAGCTATGAGTGCTTTGCAGTAGAACCCATGTTTCTCTTGGAGGCTTGTGGAGGAGCAGGAGTTCAATAGCCCAGAACAGACAGCAAGAAGCAGGAGAAGCTAGGTTTACAGTCTCATACCCAGAGTGCACAGCCCACCTAGATGGACTGGATGGATGAAGGGTCAGGCTTCTCTCTGAGGAAATACTGACCTGGTCCGAAGTTTAAATGTTTCTCAGTAAACTGTCATTGACTTGGTCCTGTTGTCAGGTGAGGAAGCATCCAATGTTTCTTATGTAGCTATGTGGACAGGACACTCCCCCCCAGTCCACTGTAACAAAACAAACAACACCAAAAAGCCAAGCAGCAGCACTGGAGAGGGTGAGCTGCTCCTGCTGGGTGTCTGTTTTGTTACATCTCTCTGCCATATTATCATGCTGAGCAATAAACTAAGAAGGCAAAGACGGCTGTTAGACCTCCCATGCCTTCATACTGGAATTTAGAAATCCTGTTCAGAAGTTTCTTTTCTAATTTATTGTCCACCACTAGGTGGTCCAACACAGGCATCCATTTGACCCTAGCACATCTGGCAGAAGAGGTAAAGCATCCAACCAACAGGTCCTTCCCAATCCCTAGAGAGGAGAGCAAGGAAACAGGGAAGAGGAAGGGGACTGCAAGAAATGAGTAATAATGTCATGGGGGAAGGCATGAAATATAATTTGACACCTTAAAGGTGACCTCAGGAAATCAAGTCAGGATTGTTTGCAAAGTCGCTCTCAGGAGGGATCTGGAGCATGGGATTTTCCTCCTGTTCTCAGCCCATGGAGGACTGTATCCTAATATGACTCCGTGACTACCGTTGGGGCTTCTATACTCACAAGTATATACTGGGCACCTTCTAACCACCAAGAATTGATTTCTTATCGTTGTAGAAGCTGGGAAGACCAAGATCAGGACACTGGCAGATTCAGTGTCTGACAAGAGTCCATAGGTTCACGATGTGGCAGTTTCTTTGCTCAGCTCAGTGGGAAGGACAAGGCTCCTCTGCTTCTCTGAGGCGCAGGGTCATCGTAATGCCTCGTGGTCTAATCGAATCTTTTTAAAAAATTATTTTGAGCTTATAGTACAACTACATCATTTAAGGCTCAAGAGCTGGGGGTACAGGTTCTAGCACACGAGCAGGGTGAGAGACATAGGAGACCTCTGCTATGATTATGACTTTTAAAATGGCTGCATGTTGGAAAAGGCGATTTAGAAATGACAGTTAATTGCCCAGTCTGACAGGCAACGGTCCTGATCGTGAGTATGACCCACCTGTGTGCTGCTGCTGCTGTCTTTCAGGTTGTGGACTCGAGGCTCGTGTCGGTGTTTGATGCTAGGGAACTGGAGCTCGTGATTGCTGGTACCGCAGAAATCGACCTGAACGACTGGAGGAATAACACTGAGTACCGGGGAGGTGAGCTAGCAGCACTTCTCATAATATATGTTGGGGGGAAAAAAATGTTGAAATAAAGTTGCTATGGTATAAAACTGGCCGTCCTAAAATAAACAATTCAGTAACATTTAGCGCATTCAGAAGTTTGTGTAACAACAACCTCTACCTGGTTCTAAAATACATTCATCATCTAGAGTTGATGTTCTCCACCGCTGTTCCCATCCTCCAGACACCTGGCAGCCGCAAATCTCTATCCTGTCTCTATAGACTTACCAATTCTGGAAATGCCATATAAATATTATCATATAAAATATGGTCCCTGTGTTTGCCTTCTTTTTGAGATTCATCCATGTTCTGGCATGCTTTAGTGTTTCATCCTTTTGTATAGCTAAGCAGTGACCCATCACACCATTCACTAGACCTGTTCTTACCGTAACCTACAATGCTGGGGATTAGAGTTACGGCCAGGCACTTCCTTGGAAAATGCTATACCACTAATGAATACCCCAATTTAACACTTCTTAAAGTGTTAAAGACTTGTCCTTACCTCAGCGCAAAACAGTTGCTTGCCCAGCTTCTGGCTGAACGTCTTTTCAGGAAACAGTGATCCATGGCGTGCCATGTAAAGGCCCACAGACAACACACCTTCTGCATGTGAGCTCTTGAGTAGCCCGCACACTCTCAGAGAAAGGCCTCTTGCTCCCTGTGAGATTTTAGCCTTCTTTACCTCAGTGCACATTTGCTTCCTCGGGGTTCTGACTATCCTCTCCTCTCCCTCTCCACTTCCCTCTTGTCTTCCCCTCCCTTCCTCCCCCCCATCTCATTAAAAAAAAAAATCGTCTACTATGGGTCATTTGTGAGCTTCCCTTTGGTCTGCATCAAAATGAATCAAATTCTAAGTCTCTTATCTCTGTCCACCATTTTTAACAACAACAACAAAAATGTGATTCTTACAATATGAATAGTTCGTATTGACTATAGGAAATATTTCCCCAGAACATTTGACCTTTTAGACTAGTCATCCAAAATAGAAATAGAATATAAACCACATGTGTAAGTTTGAACTTATTTATTTATTTACTTACTTACTTATTGAAATAGACTCTCTATGCCTAGCCTTGGCTAGCCTGGAACTTGCTATGTAGACCAAGATGGTCTCAAAATCACAAAGACGTATTTGCCTCTGCCTTCTAAGTTTTGCATGTGCCACCACAGCTGACATTAACTAAATTTTCTAATAGCCATATTAGAAAAAGTACACACAAGCAATTATAATTTGTACTTTTAACTTAATAAGTTCAAAATATCATTTCAACTATTATATGGATTTGGTGTAAGAATTCATTAATGCAAGATATATATATACATAAGTAGACTTTGCAAACACCATTTTCAGCAGATCAGGACATCATCTTTCCCCAAAGCTTAGCCTTATGACTCACAGAAAACTTTGTTTGTTTATTTGTTTGTTTGTTTGTTTGTTTGTTTGTTTGTTTGTTTGTTTCGAGACAGTGTTTCTCTGTGTAGCCTTGGCTGTCCTGGACTCATTTTGTAGAGCAGGCTGGCATTAAACTCACAGCAATCCACCTCCTTCTGCCTCCCTGAGTGCTGGGATTAAAGGTGTGTGTCACCCCGCTTACAGACTTTTTCAATAGTTTAGCCTCAAAAACCCTCTTTTTAGGTAAAATGTTAGAGAAAAATCCCAACCAATATTACAGAGGGGAAAACAAGGGGACAACAACTCAGCCACCTTCAACCACTCAACTACAAAGCCCTCTTGGAACCTCTATACTGATTTGTTAAGAAAACTGCTAGAATGCGGTGTTTCTGTAGTGAAGTGATTAAAGAAAGAAAAGAAAACCGCTGGCCTACGTATTCAGCACAGCTGCTTCTGCTGAACCAGTAAGACTGAATATTCCAGCATCCCCCTGGCGCTAATTTCCTCAGACCTCATGTTTTCCTCATTCTCATTGTTTCTTTCTTCTGCTAAGAATGTCCTCTCTCTTTACTCAACTACACAAATGCTTCCCAGGCCAAACTCAAACCCTGCTTCCTTCACAAAGCTCTCTCAATTTCTATCCACACATATCTCCTCTCTTGAATGCCTCTTACCTTTGTGGTGAGTGGGGATCATTTCTCTAAATTGTTTCTCGTGAGCCAAGGCTCTTCAACGGTGCCTTAAAGCCTCTCGCCATCCAGGCATGACTCAGGGAACAGCTGTGTGATGGATACAGGCCTTCCTTTTGGGACAGAATCTATCTTCCTCGGCCAGGTTTGCATGTTACCTCGCTGTGTTGTGAGGTCCTAGACTCTCCTGTTTTATATCATTGCCAAGAGCTAAAACATCAGAACAAAGAAAACATAAGATGGTCTGCCTTTTTGAGCCTTTTTGTTCCTTATTTACATTCATATAAGGCTGGGATATTTCAGGTTTTATTCCAATTGTTTACATAAAAAGGAAACACCTCAGAGGAAACCTCTCAAACACCCAGTTTTGTAAAAGAGCTATTATATAAATCTGCTTGTTTTAAAACTTGACCAAGTTATATAAATTAGTTTAGTCTTGCCTATCTAAATGCCATTATCAGCAAAATCAGAAGATCTGAAGCTGCAGTTCAGCTAACGCATCTCTCCCTTCCTCCTTTCTCCCCACCTCCACCTCTCTTTTTTTTTTTTTTTTTTTTTTAAACCAGGTTATCACGATGGCCATCTTGTGATCCGCTGGTTCTGGGCTGCAGTGGAACGCTTCAATAACGAGCAGAGATTGAGATTACTTCAGTTTGTGACAGGGACATCAAGTGTGCCCTACGAAGGCTTTGCAGCCTTGCGGGGGAGCAATGGGCTTCGGCGCTTCTGCATAGAGAAATGGGGGAAAATCACATCCCTTCCCAGGTACAGAGCTCCTGCCAACCTTCATGAACTCACTGCAGGGGAAAACTATACTTTGCTATTTGAGTTTTGGCGATCATCTTTTAAGACAGAATTCTTGATTGTCGCTCAAAGCATTGTTATTTGAGTTACCAGACACAGATGTAAGTATGGTGCCTCTAAGGCTTGGATTGAGACTAAAACTTCTTAGCGAAGTTTTAGTTGTTGATCATATTTGGTTGTTGATCATACATGCCATAGAGAATGAGGGAGGCAAGGTCATGGCTGTAAAAATGCTGGAAACCCAAAGTAACCACTCCAACATATAACATCTATTCATAGGACCCACTTGAGACTTCATAGCATAGTTAGATATTTGTTTATATACTGTAGTTTTTCAATGAGTTTTAAAATATGTGGAGATGAAACCATGTATATTCTTTGGTCTCTATAATAATTTATACACAGTACTCTATCAAAAACCTATGTGTTTTAAATTCACAAAAAGGCGGTTTAAATTCCCTACCCCATGAGTTTCAGTGCCAAGACTTCCTTTGTCCTTGTTATTCTACCCTGGGTAGCATAATCTTGATTAATAAAATAGGATCACTAGACATACTTGTAGACAGGCACTCTGGTAATAAATACTGCTTTGCAAACATAAGAAAATATGGATTTTATGGTGGCTTGAATGAGAATGGCCATCATAAGTTTATCTGTTTGGATATTTGCTCCCTAATCAATGGAACTGTTTGGAAAGGATTTGGAAGTGTGGCCTTGTTGGAGAAAGTTGTCAGTGGAGGGGTCTTGGCAGTTTAAAAGCCCACACCAGGCCCAGTTCCTCTCTGTGTCTTTGCCTGCTGCATACAGATTAGGATGTGAAGCTCTCAGCTATTGCTTCAGTGTCCTGTCTGTGTGCTTCCTACCATGATGATAACGGACTAAACCCCTAAAACTGAAAGCAACTCCCCAATTAAATGCTTTCTTTTATGAGTTACTTTGATGATGGTGTCAACTGAGCAGTAACCAAGACATTTTATTATCACCTTATATTTCTAACTAGAAAACATATATTTGATACAGATCTATCTCTATATAGCCCTTATTGTAGTAAATTTTTGGATAAATTGATTTAAAAGGAAGAAAGGTTATTTTGGTTAACTGTATTAGAGGTTTTAGTCCATGACCGATTGGCCCTGTTGCCTTTCATCTGTAAAGGTACAGTATATCATGATGGAAAGTATAGTGGAAAAAATCCTGTTTATCTCATGCCTGAGAGGAGTGGGGTAGAAAGAAGGGAAGAGAAGAGAGAGAGAAAGAACCAAGGGTCTGTTTGAGGAAATATCCCTAATGACCTAGTTAGCTTTTACCTACCAGAATCCACATCTTAAAGATCTTATTGTTTCCCAATGGCATCACTGCTGAAATCAAGTCTTACACCTTTGGGGAACATGCTATATACAAAAGAGAGCAGTGCCAAAATACCTTTGCTAAATCAGTGTAATGGAAAGATTTGTTGAAGTATAGTTTTCATCTAATTTTCTCAGACTTCTTGCTTTCCTGTGGACAGCTCATATGATGTTTGATGAGTGCTGGGTGATTCTGTCCCTGGGAAGACCTGACCAAATGTTTGCTCAGCCCAGATAGGGAACTGATCAAATAAAGACACCACCAAAACTTTGTGAACCGGTGGATTTTATTGGAGATACTTAAAGGCATATGAGAGAAAGGTTACTTAGAGGGACAGGGATGACTTGGACAGCTGCATCATTTAAAGCCTACACCAGGATGGCTCACAAAGATGGAAAGGTGGAGTGTACAATCAGCATGCAGCTCAGTAGGCTGAAAAGTATCAATTTCAGGTATCTCAGGCAGTATAGGCCTCTTCTGGGCATCTTGGCTGATCTGAGAGCATCTCCCAGCAGCCCTTACTGCTTATAAATGTATCCATTTCAGGGAGTTTCTGAAGCATTTAGGTTGTATGTTTCCTGAATTTAAAAGTTTCCTTGCAGGAATGAATGTATAATCTCCCTTTAGAACTTTAAATTTGTTTTTAATTAAAATGTAATTACATCATTTCCCTCCTTCCCTTTTCTTTTTCAACCCCCCCCCATGCCCTAGCCCTGTCCTTCTCATAGTCATGACCTCTTTTTTTCATTGCTGTTAGTTATAGAAATATAACCTCCTGAGTTCATTTAGTGTTGCCTGTGTGCATGATTTCAGGGCTAACCACTGGTATTAGATAATCAATTAGAAGTCTCATCCCTGGGAAAGACTAATTCTGCATTGTTGTTGTTGTTGTTGTTGTTTTAGTAGCCCTTCCTTGCATATAGTTATTTGTGTAGGGTGGGAAACAATGCGCTTTCCCCATTCTGTGTTATCAGATATATTGGAATTGTTATTGTTCATATCTTAGCTTCCCTCCAAGGTAGAATGTTTTGTTTCAGGAAAAAAAAAAATGCTACACAATAATGAGTACTAGTAACTATTGCCAGTTGCTTAGCAACAGTTGAAAGTAGTTCTCAGACTTGCCTACACCAGCTCTAGTCATCAACCCAAACATACCAGCTGAAAGACACGAAAGATAAATTAGCATACATCTAGCTAAATGATAGATCTTGTTAGCGAAGTTATTTGGAAACATTTTGCTTTTATTTTAGGAAAAACATATTTTGGGTCATCATTTAATCATAGCCTACTCTGATAAGTCTGCAGTAGAAGAGGAGGTAAGACGTGAGACACCTACCCATAGGAGCTTATAGGAGAGGAAAATTCAGACCAAAGACAACTAATTACAACACAAGGGAAAATCAGAAGGATTAAAGGTGCTTGAGGCAATGCGGGGCGAGAATGTGGATCAAAGTGTTACTCCTGATTGAACTACACAAAGAAAATACTTCAGAATAATTTGATGGGTGAGAAGTCATAGAAGAGGGTGAGTGGGCAGCATAACCTAGTCCTGAGAAGACACCTGCATGTGCTCAGGCAGAGAAGTATTAACCCAACACAGAGGACAAAATGTCTTGAGACATGTCCAAGAATGTGACAGTTAGTATTGACTGGCTGGGAACTTGAATGACCTGCCAGACATCCCTCTGGGATTGTGAGGGAGCTTCCAGATAGAGTAGTTGAGGTAGGAAGACCCACCCTATGTTTGTGTGGCATCATTGCGTGGGGTAGGGGTTTGGGTTAAATAAAAAGAAGAGAGGGAGTTGAGCACGAATGTTTCTCTCTCCCTTTCCTTGGCTGTGGATGCCATGTGTGGAATGTGACTGTGACAGCTCCTACTGCCATGCCTCCGCTGCCCCATTAGATACATCTCCAAACGGAGTCCAGATAGACCGTCTCTCCATTAATTTCTTTCATCAGATGTTTTGTTGCAGCAACAGAAAAGAACTTCATACACAGAGGAAGTGAAGAGAAAGGTAGTTTGGTAGGACACCAAGAAATTACCTTTCTGAAGAGTCTCTGCTTTATTCTTTAGGAAATACCATTGTGGTTGTTACTACAAAGACATAAACTGAATGCAATATACATATTTTCCTTGAACTATGTATTAATACTGTTAGCTCTTACTTTACTTCCTAATTATGTCAGCCACAGTCCAGTGGATTCACTCCTTTCTGCCTTTCTAAAAACCAAGAAAGTCACTGTAATCATTACCCTGCTCAACTCTCTGTTTTTTATTTCAAATATTTTTATAGTAACTAAACTATTTCAGCTATCTTCTTTTGAAGTGATCTAGGCTTTCCTGATACTTAGGTAATTACAGAAGTCTGCCAATATCTATTCATTTTCATGTTCACTCTCAATCAAGTCCTTAAAGCCTACAGCCAGTTACTGTCTCTTGCAGACACTTGGGGCATGAAGGGAAGGAAGACAGGCAGGAAATGACGGAGGGAGCTGTTGCCAAAAATAGAGTTGGATATTGGAAAGGCAAACATCAACATCTTCCTCAGATTCTCCTTCAGGGGGAAAAAAAAAAAAAAACTTTCTTCCTTCATCCCTCTTTCTTTATCTTCCAAAGAATCTGCACTATCCTAAAAACTGAGTCCACATAGTATTCTGACACTCTAATTTGTCTAATTCAGAACAAAGGTATAGATTATAAACACTTCCCCCCCCCAAAAAAGAAAACTTGTTATTCAAATACTAATGTTCCAAATAAAATTCTAGTTTTATTAGGGTTTTTTTCATTGTTTTGTCTTAACTTAATGTCTTTTTCTGCACTGGTTGATGTGTAAATACAACTTCAACATGCTGCTCACTCAACCAGGGAGGAAAAGGCATAAAATTAACTTCCAGCTATTCCAATCAAGCTCCAGGTGTACCAATACACACTTCTTGCTGCTTTGTCAAAAGACCAGCATCAGGTTTCCATAGAAACAGAGTACCTGGAAGGAAACAGCTACTAGGGAAGAATCTGTGTGGTTATGCCTCCTCCACTCACTGCTGAATACCCACAGAGGTGTTTTCTATACCGTGCATTATCCGCGTAAGAGGAAAGACATGGCTAGTCTAGGACAGACACTACCAAGTGTGCCTCTGCAGAATGAAAGCCAGCCTGAGCAAAGCTACAGGGATGGCAATGGTGTGAAGAGTCCCAGGGTTGAGAGAGGACTGACTTACACCCTAAGATGGTGTCAGGAGTGAGGCACTTAAGCTTCAGTTGATGTAGGGGACTTAAACTTGTTTCCAGAGCAGGCTTGGCCTGGGGAGTGGGAGCTCAGTATTACAGAGCAGTATCGGCTCTTCAAAAGAGATACTTGTGGTTTAACAATACCCGGAACTCGGAGCGAGGCAAGAAGGCTTAGGAATGACTGCCTCTGCCTCCCTGGTATTATTTAAATTTTCAAATCAGGATAATAGTGTAGAGTTGGTCATTGGTTTGCTACTGTGGTTATATTGGAGTGTAGTTTACTTGCAAATAACAATTAACTGCTTCTAGTTCTTCAATGTCCTAAACTTGTCATGTCTCATTGGATGTGGTTTGCCATTTTCAGTGTTTTATGATTGTCCTAAAACATGTCTGGCTCACTTTTGATTCTCCTTTGAAGTCATTGGTATAACCAGAAACAGTTCTTAAAATATCCTCACCAGTATTTTTCTTCTCTATTCAGGGCACATACATGCTTCAACCGATTGGATCTCCCACCATATCCTTCCTATTCCATGTTGTATGAAAAGCTGTTAACAGCAGTAGAAGAAACCAGCACTTTTGGACTTGAGTGAGGAAGTGGGACCCGGCCTGACGTTGTCCTGGACTGTGACACTACCCTTTCTGGGATGACTTCCTTTCCCTCCTTGACTTTGGTATCCCATGATTTTTATTTCAAAGCAAATTAGAATTGGCAAAAGCTGTGCATGAAGAATTGCCTTCTTCTGAGATCTAATCTTCAGGCTTGTTTCCTCTGTTTCCAATGAACTGCTAGCCTGTATGCAATACTACCAAACAGCTGTCTCAAGGTCTGTGCATACCTCCACATACCTCCATTCCTAACAATGAAGTACGAATGCAAGTTACGCCACACTTGATGAAACGGTAACAAATGTTTACTTCCACTTCTATCGTTCAAGGATAATTTGAGCTCTAAGCATTCCATGCTTTTATACGCCCATGTCTTCCAAGCAGAACCACCATTTTCCCTAATTTCTAACAACCATTTTCCAGACGTAGGAGCTGACTGATTTTGTTTTCCTCTCTATCTCTACATTTCCTATGCATTCTTTCCATTCAATGGGCAGCCAAGGCCACACAGACTTTTTTTTTTATTCATTCCACTCATGATTCATAGGTGGCATCAATCCCAGAACCCAGAACTAGCCTAGACATATGGTGCAAATATGAAACTTCTAGCAATTAACAACAGCAAGAAAAAAAAAAGGTTATCAGTAAATGCAAGGGTTATAAGGACTATGAACTCAACTCATGTTCAGAAAAGTGTAGTGGGGAGCACCCCTAGTGTACCCTCACCACACAAGAAGCACAAACTGTGCACATGTCCAAGGAGGAAACCCGAATTGCTGTAGATTGAAGGTTGAGCCTTTAACTCCAATTTTGTTACATAGAAAGTGATAAGACAAACTGGAAAAGAGCAGCACATTTAACATGTATTCAAATACATGAATTCTGTTTAATCTATTCACACACACACACACACACACACACACACCACAATCCAAATAGATCTCATGGCTTTTGTTGAAGCCAGTTGTATTTACTTGACAGGTCAACCTTAATTTTCTTTCTAACTTTGATACTTTTCTCATTCTTTTTTCTTTTCTTTCTTTCTTTTTTTTTTTTAATCACTGTGTTCGAATTCTGTCACATCTGATGTTCACAGAAACCACAAATGAAGCTGCAGAGTGTGATGGTGCTTGTTAAGGATCACAGGCAATATAAACTTCTCCTTCACCCATAGCAATTTTTCAAAGGCACACTGATTTGTGTCCAAAAAAAAAAACAATCCATTTTTTTTTTTTTAGCATTCAGCAAAATATCTAAGAAAATGTGTTTTTAGAAAAACAATTTCAGGCTCCACAGACAAGCCTGGCATCTTGAGTACCTTTGAGATAAACCTAACCATTACGGTCATTTGCTATTTTTGTAACCATGTTATCTGTGTTGTCCAAAATATGACATAAATGAAAGTGTTTTTTTCTTCACTGGGAAAAAGAAAAGCTAAAGAGATCCAACTATTTAAATATCGTTGTTGTAGTCAATATATCAAAACAAGAGGAAAAGTCAACATAAGATGGAACCGTGAAATGTTCCAGCACGCTAAAATGAAATATTTTCTAAGTAAAAATTATTCACAATGCCAAACCCTTCATGCTCCTGTGTTTCTATTGTCAAACAGGAAGTATGTGGGATAGAAGCTTTCTTTTGCTGTCTAAAAAGAAGTTTTACTAAAAATGGGATGTAAGTTCTATGAAACACAAGTTGAGGGATGAGTAAAAATTAGCCCAAGGTTCAGTATCTGAAAAATAATGAATTCCAATGGAGCTATGCTTTACTAATGAACTCGGAACAAAAGGACTATTAAAATCACCCAGTAAATCTTTAACTCTTGAACGGTATATTTAGAATTCATCTTAAACATACATGAAAGCTCATTTCTCCAAGCATTCAACTTTTTTAGCATTTATTTGCCACACATTAAAAAGTTATTTTGAAGTTGTTCAAATGTAGGAAGCTGCCCTTGAAGAGCTTTACAATTTACAAAAACGAGACAATCTGTTAGTCAGATGAATTTATAGTCTACTAACATACATACAAACATACATAAATTATCTTATAAATGAACAAGAAACTCAGAGAGGTGTGGGGTTTTTTAGCTAATTAATGACAAGCTCTGCATTAATCCCAACAAGCAGGCATAACACAGCAACATTTCTCATTTAACTTTTATTAATTATTTGAGAATGTTTACAATGTATTTTAGTTATATTCACCCACTCTTCTCCCTATCTCCTTCCACATCCACTCCTCAGCCTTCAATTCCTTCTCAATTTCATGTCATCTTTTTTCATAACCCATTGAGTCCAGTTGTGCTATCTGTCTATATATTAATTAGTGTGCGGCTACCCCTGGAGGATATAAACATATCTGGTATACATATACTCATAGCCGGATGATAGTGGCACACGCCATTAATTCCAGCACTTGGAAGGCAGAGGCAGGCAGATCTCTGTGAGTTCAAGGCCAGCCTGGTCTATAGAGTGAGTTCCAGGACACCCAGAGCTACATAGTGAGATTCTGTTTTGAAAAAAACAAAACGGAAAAAAAAAAGAAAGAGAAAACTGACTATCGGCAGCCATTGGCTGGCAACAGCTCCTCAGCTAGGGCTGGGGACTTATGAACCCCTCTTCTCATAGCAATAGCATTTTAGATAAATGAAAAATGCTACTGATGCCACCCAGGTTGCTGAGAAAATGTAAAGCTTGCTTCATAGAGCCCAACATATGCCTTCAGCCTTACATGAAAGAAGGAACTCAAAGGGAAGAGGAGCTCAGAATTTAGTCATGGAAAAATACTTTTTACTTTATGTATGAGACTGATTTTAAAATTATATATAATTTCAATATATATACATATAACTATATGTTTATATGTATATGTGTATACATTTACACAGAAGTACATTATTGTAGAAATAATTTTTCCATTAATTTTAATGGTTGAAATATAAATCACTTCAAATCATATAATTCTTTGGGTAACACAGATCTTTTGTGACCATATGTAATTCTTTGACTTTTTTTTTTTCTCCTTGAAGGCAATTTCAAAATAATCATTTATAAGTCATAGACCCCCTAAAAGAAGATTTTTTTATATCTAGTTTTATGAGTATAATATCCTTTTTGGGAAGACAAAAAAAGATTAAAGAATTCATGTTACAATTTTGAAAAAGAGTATATTGTGTTATCATAATTTTATAGATAACACGAATATTTTATTAAATAACACGAAGATGATTATCTCCCTAATAGAAATTGAGTCTTCAAGATGAGAAGTGTCCTATAACTATTGAATTTTCTGTGACATCATGAGTATATGAGCTGGAGGACATCATGATGTTTTTACCACCATCGCTATTATAGCACAAATATTTCAGGAGAGTTAATGAAAATAACAAAGTGCTAAAAGGTATCTTGGCAAGCTTTCATCAAGAAAGATTTAAATATTTTTTCTGTTAATAATGAATCTGTGTTGTTCAACAGTAAGAATATTTGTACTCAGTGAGCTGAGTTTTCCATAACACTATCTCATTGTCAGTTCATGCGTCAAGCCACATGTCTGAAATTTGGGTTCAGAAAACTTCTAAGTTTCCACAAGTGTTTTCCCAGTCAAGATGAAACACTTTCAAATGAAAGTAGTTAGAACTTTACATAACAAAAATGTGGTGCTTTATTCTTCTTGTTGTTGTTGTTATTACTATTATGTCTTTCAGTGTTCGTTATTAAGACAACTGCAATACTGTATCATAAATGTACGGGATGACTTTTCCAGCTACTACAAAAAGTCCAAAAGAAAAAGTATTATTTTGCTGTTAATGACATGTAGTTCCTTTGTTCTAGTAGATAAAAGGTGCCTAGAGGTAGTATATAGAGTAAATATTGTTCCATTAGTCTCCTTCCTGCAGCTTCCATTATCTGAGGAAATGTCCATAACAATTTTGTTTACAAGTCTTTGTTCTAGTCAATAACAGGAGAGGTCCATATTACTGGGCTGATTTTGCTTACATCTAAAAAAAAAAAAAGTCACGTGATACTCAGGCCTCGCTTTCTCTTCCATCATACATCTTCAAGGAATGTCAATAAACTCACTTTGGTATGGCACTGAGTATGCTCCTTATTGCAAAGAGAAGTCTACGGTAGCACATAAAATTCTGTATCAAGCCTGGGCTCTTGCTAAATAGTATGGGCAATAAAACAACGCAGAAAGGTACCAGCTACCAGGGTAAACAAACCTCAGAAGAAAATCATTGTTGTTATTCATGAATAAGGGAGCCTATTAGAACTCTACACAAACCACGTGTCTGTCTACTGCAAAACTCCGTTTTGTAATCATTCTTTATGTAGAACAGGAAGACACTGATTTGTATGAAATCCTGCCTGCTGAGAAGTTTCTACAAAAACTTCAGACATGGCTCTTGGAGGATTATCACTAAGCACAAATCACAAATGACCAATAAAAAAATAACATCTTTCCACCACACACACACACACCACCACCACCACCACCACCACCTGCAGCAAGCGAGTGAGCTGGCCTCAAAGGTGGGAGAGCAAGAGAATTGGCCGCACCCCTCACAAGCGGCAGCACTCAGGAGAGCCTCGCCCTCCCCATACTCCACCTGGGCAGCACAGCAGAGTGGCCCTATTGGGGTGGGGGTAGGTAAGCTCATGAGCACTGGAGAGCTGCCCCTGCCCCTCATCTGCCATCAGTGGTGCGGACAGGAGAGAGATCCCCTCCCCCACCCCGCACACCTGCGGCAGGTGGGCGAGCTGGCCAGCTGCAGCACTCAGGAGAGCAGGCCCTGCACCTTGTTTGGGCACCACAGTAGAGCTGGCCCTGGTTGCATTGGTGTTGGAGAGCTGGCCCCAAGGGCAGAAGAGCAGAAGAGCTGGCCCTCTCCCTTGCCTAGGCAGAGTGGGAGAGCTGGCCCTGGATGTTATATGCTTTGTATTTCATGAATTGCTTGTCCCCTAAGATCTTTGCTGTTCTTAGAGCAGACGCTCACGTATACCGATGTGAAGTCTGTGTAACCTTGATCCCAAATTATCCCTCATTTGCTAAATAAATGCCTACACCGGGGCAGGGCAAAAGAGAGTTAGGCCTAGCTAAGGTTTGAGGGCTTGGAGAACAGGAGGATCACAGGAGTGGGATGAGAAAGATAAGTACAGGAGAGGAGAAAAGGAGGGAGAATCGTCATGGGTTAGCATGAACAAATACCACGTGTCTGGGAGGAGCCTGCTGTGAGGATTGCTGATGGAAAGAGGCAGCACAGATGAGAAATACATGCAAGTATTTATGGGATATTGGATGGGAAGCAGCCCAGCTATGAATTGTTAGAGCAATTGGCATGGGATGTGGGGCTGGGAGGTGATAAGATAGCTTAGGGGGTTTATAGCTGCCCATCCCCAGAGTTTAAGGCACATTAAAAGTCTAACAGGTGCCTGTGTCTTTTACTGATATGGTAGTGGGTTAGAAAACAACCGCTATAATAATTATAAATAATAATAGTAAATGTTAACAAACCGATTTTCTACAACACCTGGTGGTACAAGCGCAGGAAAGCTGGTGGGCTAACCAACTCAGCTTCCTCCCAGGAAGAGATCCAGAACTCTGAGTTGGCCCACCCAAATCTACAAACTGCTGGAGCATGTGAAGGGACCAGTTCTGCAGATCCAAAGCTGCAGGGACTCCATGACGTAAGACAACTGGATATCCAAGAGGAGTCCCAGTGACAGACCAGAATTGGTGGTACAGCAGAAGCCAGAGGCCTCAAACCAGACCAATGACTCATACCAATGAGCATTTGCAAGTAAAGCTGTCTGGGCAAAAGGATCTACCGTGTGACACACTGTGACACACCACAGCTTCCACAGAGAGGTGTTTTTGTTTTTCTTTTATTTTTATTTTATTTTTTC